CAAAACTTCTCATTCGTCGGTAAACACTTCGCATGCCAATAGGTCTTCCGTGTTTTGCAAACCATTCATTTGCAATGGACCTGGTAATGGAGAAACGGTCCCTTGAGGCCAATAATCTTAGGCGGCGATCTTCACGGTCTGTTGTTCTACGGCGGCGTCCAGTGCCCCTTGCTCTTTGCGTACGGCCTTCTCGAAGCCATGCCTGACAACACCTAACCACAGTGTCTACACTTCTTTGCACTCTAACTGCAATTGCCCGAAAAGAATGTCCAGCTTCTCGAAGTCCCACTATACGGCCCCTATCAAACTCACTAAGTTGACGAAATCGTACAGGTCTCCGTACTCTAGGCATCGTAACCGATCGTAAAGGATGTCAAGAACCAAAATCCGCCAACGTTGATTCTTTGCTGCGGCTGAAATATTCATTTTTAGAGCGTTAGTGAATTAAAAAAAAGCAGTATAAAAACCGGAATGTCCAAGTGATAAGGCTGAAAATTTTTTCACTTGTTATTTACAGTAAGATAAATACATTCACCAACTTTTATTAAAATAAAACCATTTAAACTGGGTGTTCGGATTTATATGTAACTTAGTATATGTATCATCTGAAACTTATCTTGTGGTTTTCATGTTGATCCCATCTCTGACCCAATCAATCCACATATATTTAGAATATGATCTTCCCCTAACTTTGACCTTCTTCAAGTGCAATTTGTTCAATACTTGTATATTTTATTCATTTGTCTTCCAGGTAACACTTCTTTTACTTCGTCCTTCCGTTTTCACATTCCTATATAGTGTATACAAGCGAGCTTGATGTTATCTATCGTTTTTTCAATGTACCAGACAAGTCACCCTCACCCATCGTCCCGAAAACGTTAAAAGTCTTCCGGTGTGTTACGACCTCACGTATGCGTGTTGTTTCGGAGTGCAGGATGTCCTATATTAATAATCAGTTACCCAGTAGATGGATTGACGAGTAGTACCATGTTGATACTTTAGCTCTTTAGCCTCTAGTTTCGTTATATAATAAAATATAGCTTTCTAGGGCACGTTTCGGTCTTGTTTTCGGCGCAAAGGAATGGATCGCATCAATTAATGTCAGAAAATATATATCTTCGTTAGGGGTAGAGCGAACCCATTACGAAAAGCACATCAATTTGTTAGCACTTCACAATAAGGGTGGTACATACGAATACACTGATATCGATTTGTCAATTAGTTTCAAGGCAACGGGATCAGCTATTCACGGAGGGACAGCCCGATGAACTTGTAATTGAGGAGACGCTCCTTACAAATTGCTCACTTGAGACCTTACCGATCGATTAGGATGACCACTTGGCAGGAGTTTAGATTCGATTAAGAGGCAATAGCTCAAATCGTCAGGCTTCTGACCAACGAATTCGGATCAGATAGAAGGAGCAAGTATACGATTTGTTTGTATCCAAAATTATGTAGCCAGTAGTCAGGATGTAAGTACTATGGAGCCTATACCCGGAGAACAGGAGAAATGGGAAAAGACATAAAAATGTGTAGTCTGACTGAGGGCGCAATAATAATAATATTTTAATAATAATATTTATTCGCCAAAATACAAAAAATGGACAAATAAATATGAAAAAACCACAGAAGGCATCGCCTGTGTGTGGTTTATATCTTAATAACTAACAATCAATCATATATGTGTATAACAATTATTGTTAAATCTAAAAGGTATTAATGTAATTGGAACTTTGTAGTTTTAGTTTTCTGTATAATTATGTATAGTCATTCGCTGCACATTACTAACCCAGTCTTTCAATTTTCTTCTAAATTTTTTTCCTAAATTAAGTATCTTTATTTCGTTTGGTACTACATTATATAATTTAGCTGCTAAGAATTTAAATGATTTTTTGAATAATGTTTTGTGTGGTCTTTGGATATTAGATGAGCCAATTCGAAATCGTGTGTTATGCTCGTGTTTATAGGATTTTTTCTTTTTATTACAATACTTATGGTATAAGGTGGTGGCATGTAAGAAATAAAGTTGTCTTGTATCAAGTATCCCTGTTCCTTGATATAAGTTGTTCGTTGGAAATAATCTTGGCTTATGGAAAATGGCTTTCAAAACAGTTTTTTGTGCTATATTCAGTTCAGAAATATATGTCTTGCAGGCGGCACCCCAGGCTGTGATGCCGTATATTATATGGGTTTCAACTAAGGCATGGTATTGGTTTCGCAGATAACTTTCTGTAAGAATTTTGCATTTTGAGTTTATAGGCAACATTTCTAATTTTTTTGATAACATATTTAATATGGTTATCCCACCTTAGATGTGAGTCTATAAATATTACAAGATATTTCAAAGTGTTAAAACTCTATCGATTTTGGTCTTTTGGCCATGATAATTGACGGAAATTTGTTCGAAGGTAGGTAAAAATTTTGAATAGGATGTAAATGCAATACATTTTGTTTTTTTGAAGGTAACTGTTAAAATTTTAGTATCAAACCAGTCAATGATCCTTATAAAATCCTTTTCAGCTATTTGCTTCAGTGTGCTCCAGTCATCAGCTTTATATAATACGAGGGTGTCATCTGCAAAACATCTTTCCAGAACTGTTAATTTTGAATAAGTCATTTAAGTAGAGACTAAATAATAGTGGGCCTAGTACTGTTCCTTGAGGCACACCACACTTGATGTACATTTTTTTACTGTAAGTGTTAGTGATTTTGACAGTCTGTGCTCGACTTGAAAGGTAATTTTTTAAAAGGATTTGTGACGCTTCCCTAAATCCCAATCTTTCCATAACTTTCAGAAGCTCGACATGGTTAACCGTATCAAAGGCATTTTTTAGATCAACAAAGATACCAATAGTAGGTATCTTTTTGTTGACATTAGAGTTAATTTCATCCATTGCAGCCAAAATTGCATCTGTAGTAGATTTTCCTTTTCTAAATCCATATTGGTCAGAACATATAACTTTGTTTTTGTCCAAAAATTGTAATATCGTTTTTTGTAGTAATTTTTCGAAAATTTTGGCTATATTCGATAGTACTGATATGGGTCTATAATTTGATGTTTCCATTCTGTCACCGCTTTTATAAACAGGAGTAATAACAGTTGTTTTAAATGCATCAGGACAAATTCCAGATTGGAAACACCAATTAATGACGTAAGAAAGTGGTTCGGCTAAGTCGTAGGCTATTATTTTTAAATGGTCAGCTTTGATACCATCTACACCAGGACTTTTTTTGGTTTTAAGCGATAGGACAGCTTCTTGTACTTCAATCGGACTAACGCTTTCTAAAAAGAATGAATTGGGAAGTTGGGTTTTTGTGAACTTTTCGTTCGAAACCATTTTTTTAATACTGGATGCTAAATTTTCTCCAACATTAGTGAAAAAATTTAAGAATGCATCGGATATTTGTCGTTTATCTGTTAATATTGTTACATCACGATTCTTAATTTCATCAATATTTGGCTTTTCTTGAACGTTTTTGTTAGTTAAGTGATCGACAACTGACCACAGTTTTCTTGGATCAGATTTGGCAATGATCGAAACGACTACCAGCTACTGCGCGTGCGCAGAATATCTGAGGTTATAGTACAAGATCCAGCAGCATGAATCAGCAGGTATCCGTTGTTTTGATAACATTTTATTTTTCCTAATGATAAATAATAGTAGAATAGAATACAGCAGCGTTGCCTGACTATCAGGAAAGTGTTCATATGGCGAGTCTGTCAATGCACAGCGTTGCCAGATCGCTTGGACAGAATTTCCTCAGAACAATTGCATATATCTCTCTCAGAATTGCTAGTTAAAAAAAACAAATCACAGCTGATTAATGGAAGCAGTTTGGTCTGGTTCCAAGAGCAGGGAGATGCTTTCTATCAGCGAAACGTGTAATTCCCCCCAAATCATTATATTCCTCAAGGAAAAGTCCCTCAAATTTGGGGGAAGCCTTCTAACATGGCAACCCTGTCAAAACATCACTGTCATCAAGTTTCGGGATCGTTTTTACTGGATGAAAAGCATTGCCTTAGGTTTTCCTTATATATAAGCTGCATACTACAGGTCGATCAGGCTCACATCAGGCTTAAGCCACCAGTTTGACAGTGTTGTTGGCATTCCACATAAATTCGTCACCATACAAGAGTGCGTAGGTTCCGTACAGCTGTGGACAATGATGAACGTTTCTGTGGAATTTGTTTATCGACAAGCGTGATATATTATAGTCCTCGACGTTGCAAAAGGGCATGTAACGCTAGGCAGTTGTGTGTCACATAACAAAACACACACACAAATAAATGCTTCCCAACTCATAATAAAGAATTTGTTGTGCGGCAATAAACCAGATGCCACGACATATTGTGATGGCCCTAAAACTGCAAAGAGGTGGATTGTGGAATTTTTGTCCAAGAAACAGTATCCCTGATCCGTGTACCGTTCTTACGGAAGACGCTATAGCAATCGCAGAATCTCTTTAGTGGAGCATTGATAATAATATCAAATGAGTCGCTATACTTTTGGATTATAAGTGTGGATTGCAATCACTGGATAATACACACTCCAATCAGTCCAACCATTACTTAATATGTAAAATTAGATCACTTATACACAACTTAACCAGATCATGCATCAGTTGTATATAACTGAAGACATGTTTGTTCTCTTTAAAAACAAACTGATGGCAGATTGGGAAAAAATGTGGTCCGGAATTAAAAATAATACATCTAAACAGAAACATCAGGAAAAAAGCTCCACATATTTTTGGAAAACTCTGCCCTTTGTGATGATGACCGACAGGTATCGGATTTAAACCATATATTTTATATTATTCTGGGTTCACAACTTCCAATAAACAAGTCTTCCGTATTGATCTTAGAAAGAAAACGGATTTATGGTCTGCTCATTGAATTTTAAAAAACCGTAAACATAGAGATCCTCCTCAGAAAAAAGAAATACATTTTTGCTAGTGGCATGGAAAACAAAACCTAAGATTGGAGAAATGGTTCTTACCCCAGCAACACTGAAGTCTCCATGATGCATTTCCTCAACAGTCCTCTTATACTTCGAGGAGAAGGTGCCGTAGAGGAACTGGCTGATAATCGAGGACTTTCCAACTTTCGCAGCGCCCATCACGACGATCTTATGTCGTACGGTGCCCGTTGAGGGAGCCACAGCATCAACGGGAGTAGATACTGTTCTTTCTGACGTCGGGGATTCCCCATGTTCGCTGTGTTGAGTCTTTAATACCCTGGAACCAAAACAACGGATCAATCAAAGAATAATAACACAAAAAGTATCCAAAAGGTCAGTCCACGTCGACTTCTACGGTCAAGTACCAATTAGTAAAAGGGGAAAACATTTCTGAAAACAAAAACTTATCTGACAGTTATTGAAAAGAATATTAAAGATTTGACATATGCTGTTTTATATGTATATATCATAAACTTTTAAGCAATGATGAAGCTTTTTGGTCTCAATTTTGTGGATGAGCGGTTAGGGTTAACTATGATAATTATAAATAGCAATTTTGCGAATAACATCACTTTGCCTATTCCGTTTCTCTCATCAAGCTCTTTTATTTTTGTTACTCATCATCCCATAGGAATGATAAATATCCATCCGCTATATTGGATACTGAATGGTACAATAATGGTACAATTTATTGTGTACTGACAGGACAGTTAAACGTGTACAAAAAGATTCACCTCAATGGGTTACGCATAACCGTTTCAGTTTCAAGACTTGTTTCACAAATACTACCAGGTTAAAGTTAAACAAGACTTTCTAATAAAATACTATAATCAAAATCACGAAAGATGACTATTACGTCATACCATAAATTGTACTGAAGTAATGAATGGACGTACGTCGATGATAAAATCATGATGTCAGGAGCATTATGGCAACAAATTTATATTATGCTTTTGCGAAGTTAGGTTATATCTCTGATTATTTTTATTTTCATTTTATTTCATGGTTTTGAGTGATATCTTAATAATAATTTAAGTGGGGAGTTTCTGTTTTGGAAAAAAACAGTTATGAGTAGAATACCTTAAGACAGGAACACCAAAGACCAAAGTATTATTCTAAAACTACCTAACCTGCTATAACATAAACTAACTATTTATCTTTCAAATATGATCGATCATGCAACATGAAAACATCGTCTATCTTTGGATACATGCAAATTCGCAATACAGTTTGTTCAGTCAATAAAATTCTGTTTGTCTCTATCTAACATATCTGAAACTTCATTAAAAATATTCACAAATCGCTATCGTTTGTCTTTACTACAGACTAAAATGATGATGTAACCGTCATATTTCGTGATTTCGACTATACTCGTATTTCTACTGGTTGTAGAGAAAAATTAACATCTAGAATATTCTGAGAATCGAAAATATGCTAGTATTCCAAGAAATCAGTCGTTAAATAAACAACTGTCAATAAAATTAGACACCCTAAACAAACTGAAAATATGACATCTAGTATCATAAACCAATATGTGTAATCAAACTGGAATTGTGATTCATTGTATCTCTCCAAAATAATGTTTGCTTTGACCGGTGTAAATTGTTCATAAATCAATGTCAGTAATTAAATTCTGCATCGAAAGGTTATTGTTATGCTGATAAATCTGTTTGATTTATGCTCAGATGATGATCTGATTGCAAAATTTACACTGTTTCAATAAGGAAAACATCAAATATACAATATGTATTCTGTAAGGCATTTGGTGCTGTTTAAAGAGACTTAAGTTCGTTTTGCAGTCTTATTGTCAATGAGGACTTAAGCAGAAAATATATTGAACCAATTTTCTGTGCAATGTTATAAATTTATCAAATTCGCAACGAATCTAGTACGTAAATATAAACGTAAACAGAGGAAACCAAATTTGTCTGACGACTTGAGTTCAATGTGTACGAGAGACAAGCATGAGAAGTGTGTATCAACACATGTTAGAAAGAGATAAAAGCAGGCTGAAGAGCGAAGGCCATCACCTCATTACCTAGCAACGGTGACGCAGAAGATTATGCAATCTGCTACGTTGCCAGTTTATTACTCCAGAACGCAAGAGGACTGTCCCCAAGCTAGATAGGTACCGACCAAAACCGCTCATCTATGATCATGGAGGTGGAAACCTTGCCTTGGAATGTACGAGATGCTGTGTTGCCGAATGAACCAATGACGCAATGTTGCAGAATTTGTGGCGATCCTGACCTAAAATGGAGCGTCGCCAGGACCGATCCGAAATCGATCCTAAACAGATTCGACACAATTGGCAATTCAAAAATGTATACGCTCAAAATAAAACTCAGACATGCTTATCTCCACATATCCTCCTCACTCTGTGCAACGCGAAAATGAGACCCAGCCTCAAGTACTGCTCAGATGTTTGGGTGCTGCCGCTCCAGCTACATTGTCCGTACTTTTTCGGTAGATTTGTGGGAAATTTCTCGTTTGAAACTATATCAAAAAGCTTGATTGAACTCCACTCGGTTTTGAAAATTTAGGAGCGAAACGGGGGGAATCAAGGTGTGAAATGCACCTCTTCAGAAAATTGAAGAGGGTTGCTCTGTAATCGAAAACACCATAGCGGGGAGGAGAGAAATAAGTAAACAGAACCCTGTGAGAAATTGCACACTGCGCAAGTCGTTCCGTGAAGCAGCTGCTACTCGCCCTTGCACACACTCATAGTGGACCGTTGTTTCAACCCACCTTCTAAAAATACCTTTAATACAGATTGTCGAAGTTGTGTATTCATATGCCCACGACAAGCAAGCTATCATACTGACAGTGACAAGAATAAATGCGGAGACTCATACTCCGGCAGAAAATATGTTGGGTTATTATAGTCGGGCGAACTCTAGCAATCGGAATTATTATTAAATGAGGCATCAGGTAATCCAACCTATCGTTGCTGCGTGGACCTATCCAATGCAAAAAACGATAACAGGTACCAAAGCCTTTTTCTTTTCATAGAAACCCTGGAAAATAAAGGTCGGATATTTTTCGCCTTCCTAGCTGAACATAATACTACCGGAAATGAGGGTAAAAGCGTGTAAATTAACGGACACTGTAACAGGCTTGGTTTTTAAAAAGTTCGCTGTGACCTGGAAATGGCGTTGGTTATAAATAACCCTAGTAAACGGATCTGAAAAAACTTGGACGTAATGTTTTTAGATTGGTGCTTTTATTTTCCATCCAACTTTGAAGGCCAGAAACCAACGTTCTTGGCTTGTAGTCGATCAATATCTACATTATTGTAAATGGAAAATGATTCACAAAAATTGTATTCAACGATAAGCTCTTTTTTCGGAAAATATAAGCATCATGACGCGGATACATAGACATATCTGGTTTTGCAATAGGGACTTGACAAGTTTGAACTTTCACATTTTAATCATGGTGAAGTACACGAACGAACAACGCTTACAAATAATTAAAATTTACTACCGAAATTCCGAGTCGGTGAGTGTAACTTTAAGAGCGTTGACGCCAATTTTTTTTTCGTAATTTTCGTCCCAGTAGACAAGCGATTCATAGTCTAGTAAAAAAGTTTGGGTCCACATATTCGCTGCTGGATGTTCCCGCGTAAATGAGACAACAGGTTGGTCGAAATGCCGAGAATATTGCTGCCGTTCAAGCTTCCATCGCAAACGAACAGAACACGTCGATTCCACGGCGTTCTCACCCCAAACCATAACTCCAACAGTGTGATGAACATGTCTTTCAACAAAAAACTGTGGATTCCTCCTTTCACCACGTCGCCTTCTAACCCTGGCACGACCATCGTGCATGCCTAAACAAAATCGAGACTCGTCACTAAAGACAATACTCTTCCATTCCTGATCCCAGAGTGACCGTTGTCTGCACCACTCAAGGCGATTACTTCGGTGTTCTCGAGTTAAAGGGAGGACCCAGTGTGGCCGGTATGAAAACAAGCCAAAACTTCTCATTCGTCGGTAAACACTTCGCATGCCAATAGGTCTTCCGTGTTCTGCAAACCATTCATTTGCAATGGACCTGGTAGTGGAGAAACGGTCCCTTAAGGCCAATAATCTTAGGCGGCGATCTTCACGGTCTGTTGTTCTACAGCGGCGTCCAGTGCCCCTTGCTCTTTGAGTACGGCCTTCTCGAAGCCATGCCTGACAACACCTATCCACAGTGTCTACACTTCTTTGCACTCTAACTGCAATTGCCCGAAAAGAAAGTCCAGCTTCCCGAAGTCCCACTATACCGCCCCTATCAAACTCACTAAGTTGACGAAATCGTACAGGTCTCCGTACTCTAGGCATCGTAACCGATCGTAAAGGATGTCAAGAACCAAAATCCGCCAACGTTGATTCTTTACTGCGGCTGAAATATTCATTTTTAGAGCGTTAGTGAATTAAAAAAAAAGCAGTATAAAAATCGGAATGTCCAATGGATAAGGCTGAAAATTTTTTCACTTGTTATTTACAGTAAGATAAATACATTCACCAACTTTTATTAAAATAAAACCATTTAAACTGGGTGTTCGGATTTATATGTCACTTAGTATACAGGGTTATCCAAATTAAGTGTCCACCATTAGTAACTTTGTTATTAGTGAAAATACAAAGTTGTTTGAATTAGCAAACTAGTAGCATTTTTAACGCTGGTAAAAATGAGAAATAAAAAAAACAATTGAGAGTCGTTATTTTGATTTTTTTCAGTAAAATAACATTTTTTTAAATGGAAACCCCTGTATATTATATTTTTTTCTGTTAAAGCATCAAATTTTAAACAAAAAAGCTTACAATAACTTTTCTCCTAGGTTACAAATTGTTGAAGTTATGGCCTCCAATCTGAAACAATTAAATTGTATCGACAAACTTTATTTTCAACATCAACTTATAATCTTACAAAATACAATAACAATTTTTTTTAAAGAAGATGCTCGAAAACACCACCTTGTTCTTCAATACATTTTTGGGCACGTTTTTCAACTGCTCGAACTGTCTTAAGTATGGTCCTACCATCTATCTGGGTTATCTTTTCCCTAACTGCAGTCTTTAACGCGTCAAGGTTATCGTACCTTCGCTTGTAAATTTGGTTCTTTAAGTAACCCCACAAGAAGTAATCAAGTGGGTTTAGATCTGGTGATCTGGGAGGCCACTGTATTGGGCCATTTGTTCCTATCCACTGATCATTAAAAGTAGTACTTAGAAAATGATAAGTACCTCTGGAGTTGTGGGCAGGTGCGCCATCTTGCTGAAAATGCAGATGATGTCTACTTATAAGATCCAATTCGTCTAAGAAATTAGTCAGAATTTCTGACATAAATTCCACATATCTTTCACCAGTTAGGGTTCCCTCATAAAAGAACGGGCCAACAATTTTTGAACCAATTATACCGCACCAAACGTTGAAACTGAAACGGACTTGTGGGCCTCTTGGATGTACTAACAAAAGATTTTCTCTTGACCAATAATGGTGGTTTTTTCTATTAAACATTCCAGAATTTGAAAAATTTGATTCATCTGTCCATAAAAGGTAACGAAAGTTATTTACATTTTGGCGACAGAAGCTAAGATACCAATGGCAAAAAACAAGTCTTCTCTCTGGATCCCCTGCCAAAAGCGTTTGAACTGGTCGGTACTTATACGGAATAAATTTGTATTTTTTTAAAATCCTTTGAACAGTACCATAACTGAAATTAGAGTCCTTGAGAATATCTGCTATTGAATTCTCACGATAAGCTTCAAAATATCCAATAACTGCAATTTCCGTGGCCTCGCTTATTATGAATTCTTTTTTTGCCCTTGTTTTAGCAAAAACATTTTCGTTGCCCCTAAATTTTCGATAAAGTCTCAGAAAATATCGTTCATACGGTTGAATGCGAGCGGGATATAATTCACTGTAGTATTCTCTTGCTCTCAAGGAGGATTTTCTGCACACTAAATAGCATTCCAACATATCACACTTTTCTTCATGGGAGAACATTTTTCTTTAAATTAATGACACAATAAAGCTTATAAACAAGTATTTACACTAATGTTTGACATTATTTGATTTTATCATTGTTTTCCAAAGCCTTCTAGTTGCGAGTATGTCCAGTTTAACAATTTGTCGCTTATCTTAATGCTGTCAAATCGCGAACGCCATGTTTAATATTATACGTATAATACTGCAAATAATTAAAAATATTTATCGTTATTTTGACTTTATTTTTGACTTTAGCGGAAAAGTCATTATGAACTATTTTGTTTAAAATTTGATGCTTTAACAGAAAAAAATATAATATACAGGGGTTTCCATTTAAAAAAATGTTATTTTACTGAAAAAAATCAAAATAACGACTCTCAATTGTTTTTTTTTTATTTCTCATTTTTACCAGCGTTAAAAATGCTACTAGTTTGCTAATTCAAACAACTTTGTATTTTCACTAATAACAAAGTTACTAATGGTGGACACTTAATTTGGATAACCCTGTATAATATCTAATAACAGAATATGGTACCTTATCTTCCAAATTTTTTCACGATCACGCCTAATGGCGAGGAAAGGGAAATGGATGAAAATGGATACGTTTTCATTAGCCCGATATCTGAATTAGTTTATGACGAGCCCGAAACTCTGTGAACGTCGGGAGCCATTAAAAAGATTAATACGACACATACGTCATTTTTCAAGCTCGATACGTACCTATATCCACGTGCGCACAGGACAAGAAATAAATTATAAACGATCATATATATGGAAAAAGTTTGGATTTGAATTGGAATCCCATCCGTTATCTTTTTGAGACAAAGGTGTCGTCCAGCTAGCGGCAACCGAGGCCATTTATCAAGCAAGCTGCGACGTAACATCAGCTCGAGGGCAGATATTCATTATTCATTTGGATTTGGAGTGTTCTCAGATGTGTCGTTAATTTTCTATGGGCGCATTATCTCAGAAGGAGGATAGGACTTTTTGGTTGTGCGATTAAGTCAGTAGTCTGGAATCTCATATACATATACAAATTCAATAGACTGTATGGTGCATTTATTCAATGATAATTTATAAACTTGAATATGGCGGCCAGAGAAAATTTTACTTCCCATGTCGCTGGAGAAGATTTATTGTAGCCGCGAGAAATGTTGAAGTAGAGATGATGTTTTCTTGCGTGCTATCTGACATGTATATCACGAAAATGCTTATGCTTATTTCCGTCTATCGGCCGAAGAAAATAGAAATCGGTCAAACCCCGCTTTTTGGAGTTCCACACGCACCTGATCATTTATAGAATTTTTTTGTAGGCGCTAAATTTATGGTTTGGGGTTGCAGGGGGTGGACTAAGGTGTATCTCAATTTTTTGAAGGTAGTCTACTTGTTCACTTCAAATATCGACAATTCTATTGATATATAGAATTTCTCGTATATTAAGGCCCAATTTCACCAACAAAAGTCCGATATTCTCCACCTATAGGGTAACAGGCCGTCAGATACAGCGAATGAGCTTCAAGGTCCAACCAACAAATTTTAGCAACCAATAGCTATGAAATGTTGAAAACAAAATACTGTCAAAGTATGAGATGACAACTTGTCATTGAAACAACACCAGCTTATTGAATTTTAAGAAATTACATATAATTCAGTCAAAATTTTAAGAAAAGATTGATTTTTGAATTAAATTCATGTTTTAATTACCATTGTTGATTTTGTATTCATGTTTATATTATTTTCTTCAATTGATATGTGATACTGGGTGTTTTTTCCTATAAACCTCTTGCACATTCATTCATTTATTTGCCGTTCATCAGAACCATTATGGCACCTTAGATTGATATTCCCACAAAACCATCCATAAAGTTGAATATTTTTCGTTGTTCAAGAACTGAACAAACATCCACACTATATTCACAGCGATTAAGAAATTTCCAAATATATGCCTTAAAGCTACCAGCAAACCTAAAACCTGCAAAAAAAACTACAAATTTGCCACATTTTTGTTTTTTCACGAGTACACATTCTAGGTTATATTTATATTAGACATTATTTGAATACAGATGACTATAGCATTTCAAGGAGTGACACATGTGTGGGATCTGTCAACTCTTGGTACCAGTCACAAAACATATACTCTGAAGGTTTAATTCCATGCTATTCAATGACAACACGGTGACTTGTGTGGTTATCAGCGGCCATTTTGTGAGGGTGCGACAGGGTTGCCAGATTGTGCATTAATCTGTTGAAATATACTCTACTATGCTTTATAAGACTATTCGTGACATTTTTCCCAAAATCATTGCACAACCCAAGAAATGCAAATGAAAATTTAAATTTATTTCCATGACGCCGCAATATAGCTCCGTCGGTACCTTGGGTTATACATCTTGACAGTAGGGATGTTCGATACGATCCTATTGTGTGTCTACCAATAAATGCCCTGACGGGTCCCTGGGCGAGAAGAATTTGTGTCCCTGTCAAATCCTCATATTAGGGTTGTACACAAGGTATAAGCTTTATGTATCCCCAAAGCGGAAGTTTTTTTTCCACCCTTTAGAAAGACTTTAATGTCTGCACATGCCTACTCTGTGTTTCCTTCCATTTAAATAACCACGAGTATCTCAATAAAGATGAAGTTCCTGGCTAATGGGACTAGATCCTAGTGCCAATAAAAAAAAAAGGTTGGTAAATTCGAGAGTGCCATGCATTAACAAACGTCCAAATCTGCTGCCAAATTTAACAGCTAGAAAATCGACCTATTATTTGTCGCATTCCCACCCGCTGAGGGGGATAACGGATTGTTAAATGTCAACCTACAACATATATCAAAATACATGAAAGTTGTCCTGTTTTTCGATAAGGTATTTTTTCATTGGTCCATAATATTAATGTTGGTGAAATCGGCCCTAAGCCTTGAAACTTAAAACTAAAAATAAAATGATTTATATGAAATGATGGTAAAAGGTTTAACAGTCACTGCTATATATATTTCTGTTTTTAGGCATCTCACATTGATAAAACGTCTTTTGATGTTGAGAAATACATATATTTATTCTAAATGTGCTTTTGATGAACAACTTCCAACGAATACTGTAGAGAAAGTTAGATGGCTATACTGTATGAAATATGCATTCGAACTAGAAGAAATCAATGTTGCCAACTTTCTCTGACTGTAAAGGTGTTGGTGTTGTGTCGCTCAACAACTTTGCAATCAAAACAGCGTGTTGAAAGTATTGCTTACTCCACGTATATGAAACTTCTAATTCCTCCGAGGTCCTGTAACATGACTCATGTAAGAATTTTAAATTCATTCTGAATTCCAGCGAATACTTAGAAATTCTGATATGCACGCCGACACGGAGCAGCTGTTAGCGATGCTGACATTGCGGTTTTTCCCGGCTTCCGAGAAAACGAATTGCGCAAAAAGTAAGTATTCCTACCGGCATTCGGGAAACTTGGCACTGAAATATATGAGCACTATAATAAATTACACTGTAACAGCAAAAGCAGAATGGCACTCGGTCACAAGAAGTGACAGGTGTGCTATGGAATTTGTGTAAGATGTATGGCCTAGCTTCAAGTGGATCGTTGATGTTTTGTATATAAATGATTAGAGCTTACTTTAGGTTGGAAGTACTAAGTAGTATCATATATCTTAGGACACAGGACATACGTTAGTTGATCCCTATGCTCCACCTCCGGCCTCTTTGCAAGAAAGCTAAACTGAATCCAAATTCAAGATGAGATAATATAATAACAGCTAGCGGGTGATCTCTCGGTAACAGGTGGGGACAACGCCTCTTATTGGTCAATTCGCCATTAAATTTCAAACGGCCGCCTGGCGGAATAATGCGCGGGGCAGGAGCAGGGCAGGCAGAGTTGCACTCAGGCCACCGTCCGTCCCGTGTATCACTGCGTGCTCGTGTTTTCGTATTCAACTTGCTTGGTTGTTGTTGTTAAGTGTATTTGAGTAATTTGTTAAGTTTCTGTTTCTGTTAAATACTGTCATCCTTGTTTTATAACACGTTGGTGGTAGTCTATCAATCGGAGGTATCTCTGAATGCGGCCCTGTACGCCGTCCTTGCTTTTGGCAATCACGCATCCATTCTATCTTGGGTGTAAATACACTATACATTTAATTTTTATGCTTCGTTTCCCTGCTATTACGTATGCATCGAAGAAAGACACTAAACCAAAACAGTGATCATCGCGTGATACATTTCAAGAGAGAGAAAGAGCATAACTGTTATTGGGCAGAATAGGTCGAGCCCCCATACAGAACCAATGACACACCAGAGGGTGGAGTGGGGGACGTTACGACCATGCATGCAGGTTGGCCCGGTGGCTGGCCGTTGATGATATATATATTTATACAGTACAGAGTTGGCATCAGATTTATCTCCCAGAGACTGAAACACATGAGGAGACGTTGTAGCAAACCGCAGGTCACGCACAACACATGGCCTACCGAGACGCTGATGAGTCGGGCCACGCGGAGGTTAGGGTTTAGTGGGTATTAGGTGGTCTCCTCAAGACAACCTGGAGTCCCACACACGCCGTAGCTCGGGCTATGGTATGGTGCATAAACGCATTCCCCCCTCACCAAAAAAAAAAAACAGATTTATACTGGTATTACTGTGTGCTTATTAGACTTGTCAGTTGAATTTCTTAGAACTCAAAAGAGATATGGAAATGAAAGATATAAAAAAAATTATAATAACAACCACTCACCGACAAAAACTGTCCATTGTTCAAATATTATCAGGAACAACAAAACTTAAGGATACTTTTTGAAAATTCAAGTTCATCTTTTGATACTCCTATCTCTAAAGATTACCCAAGTATTGCAACAAATATAGCACAAAAGGTCGATGCACTTAATTTATGTACACAAAATTCTGATGCAAAATTTCGAATTTTCAATATGAACATAAGGAGTATAAAACACAACATTGATTACTTAAAAATACTACTCGACCAAATATGGTACAATTTTGATCTAATAGTTTTAACTGAAACGTGGCAAGTGGTTGATATTTCCTGCTTCAATCAGCAGGGATACGACACGCTGTATAACTTTGGCACTGATAACCAAAACGATGGGGTGATAGTTTTTGTAGGAGATAAACTTCAATATAGTCATGATCCAAATTAACCATAACAAAATTGAAGTTTCTGCAATTTATCGTCCGCCATGTTCAGAACCCCACGAGTTTTGAAAGAATATCGAATTTTTTTTCAAAATCAAAATAAAGTTCATTTAAAGCAACATATTTTCTTGGGAGATGTCAATATATATATTTTGGACGATGATCCCATCACAAATGAATACTTGAATATATCAAGTAACGGATTTCTGTCCTATATAAACCTACCTACAAGGTCCATCAGTGGCACATGTATAGATCACTGCTTTGTGAAAGACCTATCCAACAAAATTACTTGTATACCAATAATCCTAGAAAGCGATATTACTGACCACTTCTCCACTATTTTACTGATATCTTCAAATGAAAAACATTCTAACATCCCTACCGTTAATAACAACCAGGAAAATTACAAATTTTTTGTCGACAATTCAAAACTAATATCAAATATCAAACAAGAATCCTGGGAACAATTATACTCTATAAATAATATAGACAAAGCAACGGGACTGTTCATAGAGAAAATAAAAAAACTAATAGATATTAGTACCAATAAAGTAATAATTAGTCACAAAGAGAAAAGCAGAAATGCCTGGATTACCAAAGGATTAATAACATCGGCAATAGAAAAAGAAAGGCTGTATAATGTAATGATACTAACTACAATACCGACTGCTACAACCAATATAAAAATAAATTTATAGAGCTTGCAAGGCAAACCAAACGAAAACATTACCTAAATAAATTGAATAATAACTTAAATGATCCTAAGCGGCTTTGGACAACTATTGATGAGATTACTGGGCAAACAAAATTTAAAGAGTGTGTCACTGAGTTAAATACAACATCGGGAACAGTATTAAACAATACTCAACAAATATGCAATGAATTTTTACAATTGTTACTGACATAGGCTAAAATTTAGCAAGTAATATACAAGCAAATGTACAAAATACTCAGCCTCCAAAAACACCTTTGAACTCATTTATTTTAGGTAAAGTCGAGCAATGTGAAGTATACACCACTGTTATGTCCTTAAAAAATCCAAAAAGTCCTGGGTTCGACGGTATGAAAAGCGAGCATTTGAAAATTATAGCCGAGGACGTAACAGAACCACTGACTTACCTAATCAACAAATGCCTTGAATCTGGCATATATCCCTCAATTTTAAAAAAAGGTAATATAATACCCATACATAAATCAGGAACAAAAACAGATGTTAACAACTATAGACCAATATCAATAATATCCAGTGTAGCAAAGGTTTTTGAAAAAGTTTTATCTACTAGAATGATTCGATACCTCACAAAATTCCAAATTTTAAGTGAAAATCAATATGGATTCACAGAAGGGAAGGCTACATCGGACGCAATAACTAAAATTGTAAATCAAATACATCAAAATATTGATAACAGAATCCCTTCAATCTGCATTTTTGTTGATCTAAAGAAAGCTTTCGACACAGTTAATCACTAATTATTATTAGAAGCATTGGAGAGAATTGGTTTCAGAGGAAACGCGTACTCACTGGTCGAAAATTATTTGTCAAATCGCCCACAATATATGCAGATATCAGGTTCGTTTAATAAGTAGTATATTAAGTGTGGTGTCCTACAAGGAACTGTATTAGGTCCGCTGTAATTCAATATATATTTAAATGATATTTTCCAAATTAATTGTGTTGGCGAAATAACCAGTTTTGCAGATGATACTGCAATATTGTATGAAGGCACTGACTGTTCTTATCTGAAAAATGTAATTGAAAATGATTTTATCAAAATTATTGGGTGGTTTAACAGTAGAAAATTAAGCATTAACTATTCTAAAACACATTTTTTTACCATTTGGATCTTATGCTAGACATCTGCCAAATTACACAAATTTCTCCTTCAACATTAATGATCAAAAAATGCAAATTAATAGAGTGCCCAACATAAAATACCTTGGAGTGGTCTTCGTTACTCACTTACGATGGGACATCCATGTCAATTATATTTTAAAGAAAGTTAGGTTTGTATCCTACAAAATTAAATACCTTGGGAATATATTGACAGAAAAATATCTTCGAACAGTATACCATGCACTGATTGAGCCTCATCTCACATATGGTATATGTTCCTCACATATCTATAATTTAGATGATTATTCTAAAAATGATATTTAATAAACCGAAACTTTGTCCCACTGACAAATTATACGCAGATATTCGAATGTATGATATAAGACAGCTTTATTTCTTACACAGTATCACTCACTACTATAAATTTGTAAGCACCGACCAAAAAATTAAACATAATCATTATACAAGGTACAAGATTCGTGGCACAGTAGTTCCTCATCCGCATAAATCTATAATGAAGCGATCATATCTCTATTTAGCGCCTAAATTTTATGAAATTATACCTAAAGACTTAAAAGATTTACGTTTCGGAAATTCTTTCAAAATTAAATTTAAAAAAGTGGCTACATTCTATATCTAGGACTGAAATTCATATACTCATAAATACGAACATCAAGTAAATACATAATCTACTGTAGCTAATTTTTGTCCTTTTTTGTCATTTGCATTCTACAGCTGCAACTTAAAATAATTATTGGTCCATGTACAGGCGATGCCCTCTATTGGACCTGTTTTGATTTTGTATTTATTTACTCATATTGTTTGTTATCTTTGTACATTGAGTAAATAAATATCATTATTATTATTAAAGATGTCTTCCACAATACCGCCATAATGAGAATTGTACACAATTTTTTCTTTCGTAATGAATGACTTGGATGGTACATTAAACGACAGTAAGGCGGATCTAAAAAATATTTTTAAAGGTCCATATGTTGAATTTATAATTGCCCGCTCAAAAAACTGCTGGGGAGGGAAGGGATGTGCTTAGAAAGATAGTATAAAATTTAAGAACGGGGGCCGATCGAAGATTGAAATAGGCTCGACTGCAAACTAAAAAACTGGTTCGAAATTTACTTAAGCTCGTATACTTTGTGGGGCACGGATCCGCCCCACACTGAGACTACGACTACGACTCTTATGACTTAATGGGAATCACCATTTACGCTTTTCCAGCTTTCATCCATTATTTCCTGCAACTGCTATCAACAGTGTGAAATGGAGTATCCATATAGTACCTAAACAAACCTCAAGAATAAAATTGGTAGATTCTCAAAAATGCTTCGTTTTTTTAGATTCAGCGTGTCAAACTTTTTCAAGAAACACTTTACGTAAAGAAGTGATAACCTCGGCATGGCATTGCGTCGAAAGAGGTGCAAAATATGCATTACTTTCGAAAAAGTCCTCTGCTCATTTTTAAACAGGATAAAGCAGCCAGCTGAAATTTGAGTTGATGAAACTGAAACATGTATACAATATTTTAGCGCACAAATGGTAGTCGACAATTTCAAAATGACGGCTGGGTACCAACGCGGAACATTTTTTCAAGTATGATATCTCATTTTAAAGCTCCCCATAAGAGTGCTTTACGTATCTACCACACAGAAACACTATCATTCAAAATGGCACAATTATCAAGTTGTGAGAGATTAAATGTACAATCCTCCATTTTGAAAGACAGCAAATTTATTTCAAGATTTCGCCAGCTTAGAATTTTCAAGTGTTATTTTTAGGTTAAAACATAGTATTCAGATATCAACTCCGTCATCTCAACGTGCAAACTATATCTGTTTAAAAAATGGTGGCTGTATAAAGGTTCATCTACAAAAAAATAGTCTTATATTGGCCGTCAAGATCAAACAAAATTTACAGCGACTGGCCGAGAAATGTTTCTATCCCAGATTTCCAATGCGTTTCCGCAATTTTTGTCAAAACACACCAATCTCTTAATCTTTCAGTTTACCTGTTTGAATGGTGATTATGGTGATTATCTTCTTCTGGCTCCTCTTTCAAAAAAGAAGGCTGCAGGCTGAACCGCCTGCGGAATTGGTGCCTGCCCTTCATCAAGGCCCTTCTAGTCGTATCAGGATGATATTTCTGCTCAGCTTTAACACGTCACTGAAACAAAATAACAGTTATTAGTGACCCGAATGAATTAGAAAGATCTGTTTGCTAATCATCTGTGTGACCACAGCCAACCGTGTACAATGTTGTTTCATGCTTTTTAGCAATCATCAGTGCGGTATAGACTCCCCCACAAACTTAGAGATTTACGTTCGACAAGTCAACTAAGGACTGGAAAAATTGAATCAAAGGATCTAAAGTTTTCTGATGATGGACAGCAGACGGGGCAAAAAGTCAAGAGCGTGATATGCTTTCAGTCTCTATTTAGGATCGTGAACTATTCACACGGTCACGGTTCAGTACAATCCTTGGGGCTGACCATGACGGAACTTCTAGTTGAAAGTTGTGCAGTCTTGAGTTCAGTTGGAGAAGTCAGGTGAAGAGTTGAGAAATCAGACAAAAGCATTATCATGTGCCTCGCTGAAGACTATAACGCCTGAAAAACAAACGTGTTTGATGGCAATCGTGAGCGGTCATGGACTTTCTTTCTATCGATGGCGTCAGAGGAAAGCTTGCGACACCTTGTCTAGAAAGATATAATAATAATAAGCTACAAGTTGTATTGAGACAGATTCATCCTTACAGACAGAACTACCCCTGCAAATAGACCAGACCTAATATTATGGGATATTGAACAAACAAAAAGTTTCGATAGTAGACTTCGCAGTTACCAATGACAATAATATAGAGTCAACTGCCAGAAACAAGGTAGAGAAATATAGGGAGCTAGCTCAGAACCTCAAAGAGCAATGGGCCTCGCACAAGTAGAAATGTTAAAGAAATATCTATTGAAACTGGATCTTATGATCTTATGTGTGTTTGGATATCCCATACTCTGTACTAGAGTAAAGGATATGAACCCCGGGAGGGGGGGGGGGAGGAAGAAAACGAAGAAAATAATAATAAGAATAAATAGCGGCTATTGTCCAACAATTAAGGAAATCATTTAGAATCCTAAATAAATCAAACTAACAGAAATAGAAAACATACAAAAAGCAGGTGATTCCATGTAAAGGAAAAAACAAGTAAAAAAAAAGAAGCAAGAGACATACCCAACTAACAATTATCACTCCTATTAGAGTTGCAAGAATGATTATACAGTATTCCTTAAACAGCATTGTATACTGTAAGAACATTAGCAAAACCCTCTTAGAACAGCTATACAAGCGGAATGGGCACACCTAATATGACACTTCAGTCATTTAAGAGGTTAAATAAGGGCTGCAGGTAACAGTTATAAAACAAAAGTGTAAGCCTCTTGCAGCCGCTATAGGACATTTGCGTCAGTGCAAGATTCAGTTTTTGTCAACTATACAACCATTCTCTTACGAGATTCTACTTTATTGCAACCAAACTATTTCCTATGTATTGTATAGACGAAGTGAAGAATATATAACTAATACATTACAGTCATCTTGTTTACTTACATATCGGCCATTGTGAAGTTCATACACAGGTATATGATAAACTTCTACACTTTGATATAGGGCTATTGAATTACTTGCGCAGCAAATTTTATTGTGATTATCGTGCAAATTAGTTACCCAATTTCTACGGCCTTCGTATTCGATTCATATTTTGACAATGATCAAAAGTATGTCTAGATTTTTAAGATGGAAAACTGTACTTATCTGCGTTAAATCTTCCACAAATCCTATATTTAGACACAATTGCACTAATGTTTATCACTTTATATCTGTAATTTCGAACTGAAACATAATTATTTAATATTATATAGAGGAATAAATGTTTGCCCAATATGGCGGGTGGTTGTGTACAGTCATGGCATCGTCCATGTTGTCTTTAGGTTATTAGAATATTTTGGTGTTGCCTGGCATTTTAACAAAAATATGACAGCAGAAAGTTAGGTTATGGTGAAGTTGTTTACCAACATATTTAGCATATGTAACAGTTGTATAAGTGCTTCCGTTGGGAGCAATTTGTTGGCTAATGTAGTAAATTGCACAGCAAAGCAACACGGCTCGGGTTTGTTTTATAAACGTTAGCATGGGTGCCACAACACAACCATTTTGACTAACTTGCAAATATGTCATATGAAATAGTTGTATAAACGTTTATGCAACTGTTAAAAATTTGCCCTATAAGGTGTTGTATAACTATGCTATAGGAATATTTTAAACACCTCATTTTAGAGCAAATATGTTGTAGAAAGAAAATTTGCATTCCACACAACGTTAAGCCAGCATTTTGGTGTTCAGGCAACAACAATAGAGAGCTTTTATGGCTGAACGGTTCTTTTACCAAAGGCTTATACCACTACTTTGCTAGTTGGGTATTTCACTCAAGTGAGAAACATATAAATTATTTAAATCATTTCTAGCTACTCCTAGAATGCTGTTCAAACTGTCATCATTAATTTATATCCTAACAATTAGATGTGGCATTGAAGGTTTCACACATTACATATATAGGTGGTTTCAAATATAAATTTGTGCGAGCCATGTTATAACAAAAGGTTTTAACGGTACGAGTTTGAACAGAAAGGTCATCAGCTTAGTTTAGTTGAGCCACAATCTGATAAGCATCAATTTGATTGTGTAGCAGTTTATTCACACTTCTTTCACAGCTGTAAAGACTGCATTCAAAACCTAGACAATAATAAATTTTCAGATATACCCTACTCAGAATTTGAATTTTGAAAGATAGACATTTTAGAAATGTTCAAAAGACGTAGTTGTCAATTGGGCTCCAAATCAACTATGCATATTCCAGTTTCAAACTAATGTATGCAGAATACAAAACCAACAGTAATTTTAGGCGGCTGAACCCCCTACAGTTTCTCACAATAAAACCGTGCGCCCTTGAAGTTCGCTCTCCTTTTGAACTATGCGGGGTGAAGAATTAAGGGTATGGTCGAAAGCTACTCCCAAATCCTTAATTGAGTTATAACAATTTATGTAAACATCCCCAATCTTACAATTAAATTTGCCAACAGACGTTTTCGTGGAAAAGCTGACTACACTACATTTAGACGCATTAAGAAACAAATTATTCTCATAGTATCAAGGTACTAAAGTACCAATATCACGCTGGACTGCAATACAATCAGCCTCAGACTCAATAATCCTGGATAATTTTAAATCGTCCGCAAGGATGTGTTCATTGCAACTTAAATACTACTCAATATCATCAATAAATAAGGTAAACAATAGAGGACCAAGGTTTGAACCCAGAGGATCTCCCGATTTATTTACATACTGGTACGACCTGAAGCCAATGAAGGTAATATTCCTTCCTTTCACAAAGATAGTTTTGAATAAGCGCTAAAGCTGATGAATGGAATCCATAATGTTTGTATGTCTATCTAAACTCATGCCATGGGCCACCCTATCGAAGGCAAAATCAGTATAAGATGCTACATCTAGTTGACCTTGTCGAAGACACATTCAATAGCAAACTGGGTAAAGATTATTAAATTAGTTATTGTGGATCTCTTACTAAGAAACCCTTGCTGAAAAGGGCTCAAAGATCCATGAACTGCGGAGTAAATTCTACTAAGCAATAAATATCTCCAGCGAGTTGAGAAACTTTGACAATATTGTCACCGCTATATAATGGGTGATTTTTTTGCTAGTACCTTTTTGGCAACACTGTTTTTGACAGATGACATGTGAATCATGTCTTGTGTCACTGTCAAAATTGTTCAGTTTGGTCTATAATTTAACCATGAATCGACTTACGAACGCAAAACGCTTGCAAATTATTGAATTTTACTATCAAATTCATATTATTTATTTATTATTCATTCAGACGTAGAGTGAGAACTGAAGAAAATATTGCGGCTGCATCCGCCAGTGTTAGTGATGACCGTGAAATGTCGATTCGCCGCCGTTCGCAGCAATTGGGCCTCTGTTAGTCCACTACGTGGAAAATTTTGCGACAGGATTTGGGTGTAAAACCTTATGAGATACAGCTGGTGCAAGAATTGAAGCCAACGTTTCCAATTTGGTAAATGGGCGCTGGCAAAGTTGGAGGAAGGTTTTTATTTTATTTTTATCGAAAAATTGTGTTAAGCGGCAAAGCTTCTCGTTGAATGGGTACGTGAATAAGCAAAATTGCCGCATCTGCAGTGAAGACCAGCCAGAAACATTGCAAGAGCTACCAATGCATCCCGAAAAAATCACTGTTTGGTATGGATTATGGGCCGGTGGCATCATCGGGCCGTACTTCTTCAAAGACGACAATGGCCGGAACGTAACTGTGAATGGCGAGCGCTACCGTGCGATGATAACAAACCTGTTTTGCCCAAAATGGAAGAGCTGGACTTGGCTGACATGTGGTTTCAACAAGACGGTGCCACATGCCACACCGCACACGAAACAATGGCCCTACTGAGAGGCGAGTTCGGTGAACAGTTTATCTCACGTTTGGGGCCCGTGAATTGGCCGCCTAGATCGTGTGATTTAACGCCGTTGGACTATTTCTTGTGGGGCCAATATTGAAGCATTTATTCGTGAGATACCGGCCGATATGTTGGAGAAACTGTGCCAAAATTGGACCTTGCGCATGGGCCATCTAAAGCGGAGCCGCGGCCAACATTTACATGAAATAAACTTTAAACATTAAATTATATCGACCGTTCCAACGACTCAAATAAAGATTTAATCTTTTTTTCAAATTTTCTGTGTTTTTTTTGAAAATCAAATCCTACACCTCTTAAAAAATCACCCGTTAGTTTTTAATATCAGTACTATCCCCTGATCTGTGTCGCTTTGGAAGGTTCCCAAATATCAGGAAGTGTATTAGTTACTATAGCGAGATGTTTTTTTAACAAGACATGAATACAATCTTTGACTATGAACGAGGGGATGTTGTCTGTGCCTGTTACTTTATTCTTAAGTTTTTTGGATGCAGCAATAATCTAAATGTCATTGAAAAGTATGCTAACTCGACGAATAGGATTCCTGCATTCAGTAAAATCATTTCGAGTAAATGGATCAACCAAAACACTACTAGAAAATCTGCAAATGCATCG